ACACTAAAGGCCCCATTCTGTCTTTTAGTCTATGCTAAAGCTACAAGGAAACCACCAATCAGCACTGATTACTGTACAGCTCAAGCTCAATTGCTTCAGCCCCAGTTTCAACTTCAACCTCTGCCCAGATCTCAAGCTTCAAAAGCTCCATTCCTAACTTCCCCCTATTGACACAGCCCTATAACCACACAGCCACTCCACATCTCCGCTTTTTCTCTTCACTGAAATGGACCAGAAGAGAGAACATTCTAGAGCAGGGATGTCAAACTCATTTTCACCAGGGGCCACATCATCAATACAGTTCCCCTTGAAGGGCCGGTTGTAACTAGAAGACTGTATAGACCAGGGGTCCCCAACCCTCGGTCCACGGACCAGTACCAGTCCATAAATCATTTGGTACCGGGCCGCAGTGGTACACAATGAAAATATGTACTTAATTTTTACTAATTAAAGTAAAAATTAGGTTAAGAAACTCTGCTGCATGCATAAAGATTTTTAAGCTCCCACGGGCCACACAAAACGGCTTGGCGGGCCGCATTTGGCCCCCGGGCCTTGAGTTTGACACGTATGTTCTAGAGGAAGGCCAATGTTTACGCGATACTGTTTTAATTAGAGGCAGACACCCAGCTATTTACTTTACAAACTGGCTGTGTTTTTCTTAACACAAAAACACAAAAGTGTTCCATTTGTAGTCAGGAGGAACTCTTGTTCTTCCCTTCTACATCTTTGCGCCCCGAGTGTGGCTTATAGTTAATCATCACAAGATCATCCAGAATCATCAGAAATTAGCAACTCAGGATGCATTTGGAGTCGCACGGAGGGCAAAAGGCATGAGTTCAGATGCCAAAGAGAGTGCACTGTGTATAGTAAGTCATACGTTTGTGCTGGGCGAGACTGAGCGCAACATGGGAGACCTTAATACTATCACTTCCAGTTGTGGCTAATCATTTACTGAGTGTCAAAGTGGATATAAACAGTGCTTATCTACATGGTGATTGCACTCTGCTTTAAATATGCACTACAACTTTAGAAGAAATGTGACACTACATTGCCTAAAATGTTAGGTAAAGTAGAAAATCAGGAACATCTGCAAGTTAGGCAGTTGCACATTTGTGTGTGCTCGTCCAACTCATCCCCAATCGGTCTATGTCATTTTGTCTAATAAACAGAACTTCCTGTGTCAGAGTGTTTAGAAACAATGGTGAGTGAGTGCTGTGTGAGAAGAGACAATCTCTGTAAATGCTTTGGCACATGAGTGAGTGTAGAATAAACACACTGGCTGACTACAATACACAGTTAATGGTCGTCTGCTTAAAATCTCAACACTACCCAAACACAGGTGACGGCTGACACAAAAGTAAAATCACAAATGCAGAGTTCATTGTAAAAGGAGTTAAGAGATCAAATATGAGACGAGTTGTAATGTGCGTGTGTGCGTCCAAAGGCCACACAGCTTCCAGGCGGGGTCATGCATGGGTCGCAAACAGCCACTCCTCTCCTCCTCTCTCTGCTTTTCCTCTATCCAACGATGGCCCAGCACGGCCCAGCACGGTGTTTCATGGTCTAGGCAGAACTAATCTATCCCTCAGCTGTGCAGTTTAATCTAAACAAACAGATCTCTCCCTACCAAATTCAAGAACCCCTCACATACCGGGACATAGGAAACCCAGTCTCTTTGTCAGTGTCTGTGAGTAGATCTCTGTGTATCAGTGTGAGCCAACGCTGGACCAGGTTCAGTTGTATGCAGTATTGTAGTCAAAATAAGCCATCTCTGTTGGAGAGACATCTTTTTAACTTTTTTCCCTTACTTTGTGTGTAGTTTGGCTGTAATTGTTTAACTGAGGAAAATTTCCAGTTAATCAACTCTGGGGCAAGTTAGAAGGGGTTGAGGAAAATGGCCTGCTGTAACCAATAATCCGCTAAAAATTATGGTGGCACATAGTGCTAAGAGAGTGCAAAAAGGAAGTAGCTGATAAGTTTAAAAAATAAAATAGATTTAGAGATCAAGTTTTATAAAAGTGTTGTACGTGTACAGCACCATATACAGCTGGAGCTCTACACCAGTCAGTCTTCAGAAAATTACTGCTGGATATGACACAGCTGCCATCAGACTGAGGTGTCAGGGACGTCAGGCTTTGGACCCAAATGCAACACACCGAGATAGAAAGTTCTTTTAAAAGTTTACTCACGGTTCAGCTAAACACACGTGTCTTGGCAGTGCAAAGTCCTTCCACAAAAAGTGTCTCCACTTGAAATAAAGGAAGTCTTTTAAACAAATATGGAGAATAAATACACGTGTCTGGGTAGCGAAGGGTCTTTCAACAAAAGGTGCCTCAATTTAAAATAAAAGGAGGTCTCAGGAATAAGCGTGGAGTATTGATGATTAACAGTCTTATAACAAAGGAAGTCACCACTTGGAGCAATAAGTCTCTTTGATGAACGTGACCTCTGCTTAGATATCCCGTTGTTGAAGTAGCTACTTCCGCGTATTAGTGCGGGCATACGCTGTACGATTTTAGCCCGTTTTTGACCCGATTTTTGAGACGCACGACCTGGCGACGCTCGGCCCGATTTCACGTTTCGTCGGGCGTCTTTTTCCGTACAGGGGATCACAAGGGCTGATTATCTGTTCCCGAACCACCATCGGACGGTCGGAAAAATTTCTGACATGTCAGAAATTTGGGTCGGCCGACAAACTGTTTCGCACAGTGGAAGCAGAGCCCCGAGCCGACCGAAGCATTTCTCCCTCAGTACGCCTGCGCAAAGTGCTAGTAACCATGGCGAGGCGTCGGTGGCATGAAAATATGGAGGCGAGATTGATAGAGCTGTGGCACTGTCCACAATAAACGTAATAAACAATAAATAAATAATCGTACTGTCCACGTTTATTGAGCCATCTCCGACTCCAGATGCGCCGGCGCCTCTTCTTTTTCGAATTTTCAGCGCACAGTATCGCAGCAATCATAATGACAGGCTTCTTCTTTTTGAATAGCATGTTGCTAATGACCGGCGTCGGAGCTTTCAAATAAATCTTTATTGACAGCTGTCAATAGACAGGACAGTCAGCAGGGGCCGACGGGCCGTTTTCACACGCACAGTGTGAGTCATGTTCGATGAGTACATAAATCGTGAGCTTTGTCTGTACATCACTCGTACAGTGTGTGATGGTATCAACGACAAGATTCGTACAGTGTATGCCCGCCCTTAGGGACTCCCACGGGAGTGACGTCACCGCGGCGGATTCCCTCTAGGCTGCGAAGCAGCGGAACCAAAACAGGAGCGGAGAGGCAGAGCAGAAAACAGCAGAAACTCTCCTCAACAAGATGGGACGACTCTCGTCCACAGAGCAGGTGAGAGCGGGCGTGGATCGTCACAACAGGAAAGGCTTGGGCAGCGGAAAAATCTACACAATTAGAAACTGACCAAGAACATGCAGCCCTCGCGAACAGAAGAGACTATCTGACCGCGAGGAGTGTGTTGCTGCAGCTTAAATACGCTGCTCGCTCATCAGCAACAGCCGGTGAGCGCAGGTGGAACCAATCGCTTGATTGCAGCGCTGCAGCAGGTATGACATGAGGTGCAACATTTCATATTCGGTTGGTTATTAGTCATTAGTAAGAGGGCAATGGTGGCTTAGTGGAAGCAGACTTGGGTACGGAGGGTTTTTAGGTTCGAGTCCACCAGCTGCCAAGTTTCTACTAAGGTGCACAGAGCATGGCACACACTGCTCCCAGGATGCTCAAGCTGCCCCCTGCTGACTTTGGTGATGGGTTAAAAGCAGAGGTCATATTTTGTTGTGTGCAATGACAAATAATTCACTTTCTTTTCTTTTCTTTGACATAATATAAAATATTTTGACAAAACTCATAAAACAAAATGTTTATTGGTGTGGCTAATAACAGTCAAGGACAAACCATTTTCTTAATGACATTCTCCATCAGAGAAGGCACTTTGTGTTTGTTAAAAGACAGCAAGAATTGTTCATTCCTTTGCATTAATTACTTATTAACACTCTAATACCCTATACTGCAAATGCTTAACATTGATCTGCCCTGCTCTAAGTTTATTTTTAACACAGATTACTTTTCTTAAAAAACACACCTAAGAAGAGGTGTGTAAGACAAAAGTCAACAGAAGATTTTTCCCCCTACTAATCCATTTTAGTATGGAAATTAAAGGCGCAACCTCAAACATGTGAAAAATCTGTTGTAAAAAACTATGCCTCAATTTCTCACAAACAACGTCTGCTCCTCCATTCATGACTCCCGCAACATACTCTGCCCTCAAAGGAAAGAAGGGAAAGAAATCCCACAGCCCCTTCCTCCTACCCCCCAGGCACCACCCATAAGAACAGTCCCCTATTCTATAATAAAAAATGCTCCTTGAAAGTTTTTTCTTAATCTACAAGTGAGTGGCCCCTCTGCTCCACAACAACAAGTTCCTGTCCTCGCTCCACTTTTTCCCTCCAGCCGGAGACTAATCTTTTTGGAAAGTTGAGAGCTGTCCAAAACGGGACCACACACAGTCACTGAGAATTCAATTGCTGGGGGCAGGCAGACACACTCACACACTCTCTCACACAAAATGGTGGCTTTGACAAAAGTTTTCTCTACCCCAAAAGCTGCTTATGAACTTAATTACAACTTAACTTACTTCTGGGTGCAGTTACAGCCACTTCTTGCACATCTTGTGCATGCATCTAGCATGGTTTGAAACAGTGCAAGTACTGAAGAAATTATATGATGTGCAATTTTCTCTTGGATACTTGCCATAGTGTAAACAATAAACAATTCTCCTGGCTTGTGTAGCAGCACCCACCAACTGTCTTTTGTCCAAAAAAAAAAAAACACTTTATGCCCCCTCAGACATTATAGTAATGGCAGTAAACTTTGAAATGAAAAATAGTTTTAGCACATTTTTGTGAAACAATACACACAGTGGAACAGTGGAGGTGAGTTTAGTCTTTTGAGAACAGCATATAACCAACACAAATGACTTACCTTCAACCCAGAGTTTCTCCACATCCGTCTCCAAATTAGCAGCCCTCAAGCCCACAGCAAATGCTCCAAAAATCATGAGGCCCACAAACAAAAACTTTCCGCAGTTCTTCTGTATGTAACAGCCAAGCCTAAATAAAAGTCTCTGGAACGTTGCTCTCAGCCATAGGGGTGCTTTCCTTCCAGTCGCCTTCCCCTGCAATCAAGACAGAAATCCAAAAGTTATTATCAATTCAAAAATACAGCAATATTCAGTATTGAAAAATTTTTTTGGTTTACTTTCAATTTAAGTTTAAATGCAAAAATATGCCTCTAATAAAAAGGTTTTTATCCCTTCAGGTGATGAAAATACTTAAACACAATCTCAGTCTCACTCTCCTAATCTTTAGTGACTAAAATATGCACATCTGTCAGGGAGACGCCAGGAAACCACTGCAAGACTCCCCAGAACGACAGATGCCAGTTGTGTCAAATCAGTAACATGTATAAACTGTAACCTAAGAAGAATGTGCGTAAGGGGACGGCATCTTAATCCTCCACAGGTCACCTGCAGAGTCTGATAATTGCTGTCACAGCAGAAGCCAGGCTGTGATTATTCACATGAAACTACACCTTTTTTTAAAACCTACACATCATATTGTGATAGAATTCAGCCATCGTCTACTACTTTGTCAAGAATACATGGCTAGTTGGAAGCCAATGGTCACCTGGCAGAATACAAGGTACACTTTAGACAGTCTAACGCAATACCACATACAGGGACAAACAACAAATCTTGAACATGAAGGTTTTTCATGCAGCACTTCCCATGTCTGCAACCTTTTGGTGTAGGACAGTGCCTGTGTGACAGTGGCTTATACTGCACCACCATGCGGCCACTGCCCCAAAAACACACAGAAAAAACACTTTTCTGCACAGAACCTGTAAGGGACTCTTCATTGACTTCAATCAATTGCACATTTTAACCAAAACTTTTACCCTTACTAGAAAAGAAAAAACATCCCACTTATTCACTTCAACTTAACTGAGAGCACCATATATATGAATCTGTGTATAAAAGACCAAGTGCTGCCTCTTGGTCAAAGAACTAGTACTAAAGAATTAAATAATAACATCAGCAATGGTCCTTTAAATGTGAGTAAACACAGTCCTGGAGCAGCCTGTGTTCTGACCTGCATGGGGAGTGAGGAGCCATCACACATTCCCAATATTTGTTATCCAATGAAGTCAACCACATGGATTTCACTGTTTGTCTTTTCAGCTGAAGCTATTTAACTGACTCGCTCTCTCTCACACAAGCTTCTAAAAAAACTCTCATCCGCCAAATCATTCTTACGCTGGTCTTGGAGCCAAACGTCAGTGTGGACGTTATGGAAGCGTCAATTCTTGTGTTGACTGCGGCTGGAAGATGCATGTTTTGCTCTCCCTCAGACCGTTACAGCTCTGGGTGTTACGATAAATGCACGGGAATCCCATGTTGGTGCTGTGCGCACACTGATCCTGCTTAGCATCTTTTAACAGAAGCCGGCAACACTGATTTAAGTGTGAATATTGCAAATAAATAGGAGGCAAAACATTCGCAGGGTTTGCTACAACCTTGCCTTACCCCTGTATCCCCCCTCCTGCCCTGACCGTCCCGTTACCTAGCAGCCACTGGACTTAGTTTGGACACATTTAACGCTTGATCCAAGAAAACTAGCAGCATGGATCGTGGTTTTAGGAGTTAGGATTTACAGCAATTACCTCTGATATTTGCTCCAAAGCAAAACCGGCATCGCAGTAACTCGGCCGCTGCAAATACTCCAAATACAGCGGTGTGCTGCGGGAGTAGTTCCCCCTGTTCCTCCGCGTTACTCTCGGCCGATCTGGGTCTCTGTTTTCCTGCTCGGATGGCGCATTAGCGGCCGAGGCCATGTTGCGGGGACTGCGATATGGTTACAGTTTCTCACTTTATGGTATTTCCCCAAAAGCGTGCAGCGATATCCCAAGTTTCACTCTCGGAGATCGTACACCCGCGAAGTAGGACTTCATACTCCTGCTGGAGACGGCGAATCAAAGTCTGTGTCTTCCATCCCAACATTTCGTGATCCGGGGGTCTCCGCCGCTTCCACCGCACTCACTGAGTATCTTGGGAAAGTACAAAGCAGGTTTCTCTTAAAAGGAGATGTGCGCAAAGTGATTCCCACACACGAGTCGACGGCTAAGAAAGCTCGATGGTCGTGGCATTCTGCTAGAGATCTATGTGGTTTTCCTTGGGCCGCGCGTCACGGCCAGCTCTGAGTTTCAATAGAAGAGAAGAAAATACCTCTCACCATTTTGAGGCAGAGGAGGAGGCGGGCTAAGAGGGAGGAAAAAAGAGCCGAGATCCCGTCCTCTGGGGCTGTCAGATTGCAGGACTTTCTTGCATCTGATTGGTTCCAGAAGGGCAAACCTTACTCAGCAAACACGACTATTATTAGCTGCTTAGCAACAGGTCACTAAAGTAGAGAGACCACCCAGACCGCAGGACCTCATGTGTGCATCTCCAACTTCAGAGGAGGCTCAGAAGTGGCGAGCCAGCGCTGCCCGGTGTGTTTGGTGTCCGCGGTGTTTTGGCATGGAGGGAGTCAACCATTGTTTCAATAGGACAAGATATTCCATAATGGCAAAATATCTATGTGAACATTTCTATTTGTGAATTATTTATTTGTATTACGGGTAGATCGTATCTTGAAGCCCCACTGTGTATAAGATTAGCTAAAACATTAGCTAAAACCTTTACCATTCCAGCTACAGTAGAACAAATAGCCAAAGATATAATCGAATATAGGACAGAAAATTGACAGAAGAAAATTCCCTCGGTATATTAAGTTTTCCAGTTTTGTCAAAATTATATAAAGGTGCAAACGGTCCTTGCGTACCTTCCCTGGTGGCGCACATTTAAACTCGTTTAAATTCTGGAACAGTTTTTTCAAACAATGTATCTAAAAAAAATAAAATCCTTTTTTAATATAAATGTGGGTATAGAGAAATTATTTCACCCAACATTAGGAACAGAATAATACTTTATTCATTCATTAATTAAATTAAAAAATACACAGTAAGTGTTAATCTAACTCTTAAAGAGTTGAAATTAACTCCGTTTCAGATAATATTTGGTCCCACTCAAAATTTGTGTAAATTTTACTTTATGGTCAGTGTAACATTTACAGAGTAAATTCTACTCAATACTGTGTAAATAATAACAATGGAATGTGGACAAATATGTAACACTGTGACATAGTTACACTGTTCAGAGTACTATAGTTACATTGTAGAGAACCCAGTTAACTCAAAATTTATTAAAAAAAAGACACTTTAATGTGTAATTCTCTTTAGCCTTAGATTCTCTAGTGCTTTTATTTCATTTGAAGCAGCATTACAGAATTAATGTGATGTACTATGAAATGAAAATAAACAGGACACAACATAGTATTGCCAGTGCCAGTATTTTTTTTCATATTTGCATTGTCTATACGACATATTAAAATAAAAATGAAAGCTTACAAAAGAAAGCAATATGGGACAATGAATAAGGAATAGTTATTCACTTCACATGACCTTTGTAGGTCAAAAGGCCTAGGATATTGTAGGTTGTCCACATGAAAGTAAACAAAATCATGCTTTCTCACTACATATGCATGGAGATGTTCTTGACAAGTAACTGTAATTAAAGGCACAGTAAGCAATTACAGTTTTCCATCTATAATCTGAACAATAATCAAAATAATACAATAATCAAACAAAAAAAAACGGGCATTTTAGATTCAACTCTGCCACAGACAATCAAATGTGGGCGGTAAGTGAGCCTGTTATGTTTCTCCCATGTCAATGTTGCAGATGGTAGTTTGCACAAAAGTGAAAAAGTTGGTCAAGGAGGAACTGTATGACATACCAAAGACATAATGGGCCTTAAAGAGTTTGTCAAAGACTCCCACAGAACCAGTTGCCTTGCAAGGAAGTGCATGCTTGTCGATCACAATGAAGTAGTGGTGAATGCTGCTTGGTGTGGTTCCCACTGCAAGAAGGTAGGACTGGCTGCTAAGGGTGATGTTGTCTAAATGCTGCTGCACACTGATTCCAGTCTGTGACAGAAGACATTCAACATAAGTTGTGGTGAGTAAAATCTGATTAGACTACATTTGATCACACCTCAAACTGTGTGTGAGATTGAAGTAAAGAAAAATTCATTCATTCAACTTTTTAACAAACCTTTTTTAATTTAATGAGCTGATGGACAGCTTGAGATGTAAACATCTTTCCTGGCCTTTTTCGACCTTGCGCAGATGGTGGCAGTAGATGTAGCAGCAGCAAAATAGTAGACATGTCACTGTCCCAGCCTACATATTTACATGACAGAGTTATGTAAACCAAAAATGTGTTAACATCATAGCATATTCATTTGAGAGGTTGCACCATTACCAAAAAAGGCACTGCACATGTGTGCAATCAGAAATATCAAGTAAACAATGTCGTACCATTCTCAACTTCAGCCGCTGACTCTGCACTGCGCATCAAATCCAAGAGTTCTGTAGTGGGTACAAGTCGATGACTCTCCATTATTACTTTAGCTTTGAAAGAAGTTGGCCACTTCTCCAAGAATTTGTTGGCAGTGGTCTCTCCAAACAGAAGTCTGAAATCTTGCTCAATCCATAACACAGACACATACAAACAAAGAGTAACAATGAGAGTTACTGCACTGTGGCTATACTGGGAATTGTCATGAAATAATTGAATTAAGATGTTGTACAAGTCCTGGTGTGTCCAGAAAACATGGGAAAACCAAGAAGACATCTGCTGATTTGCTTTCATCATTGACTATTGCTTGGCGATAAGTGAAGGTAGGTTTCATCTTCTCACGGACAGTGTCTTCATCAGCAGAGTGTTTGTCCTGGTCCCCCAACTTAAGACAAAACACAATGTGACTCTTGCCAGGACAAGTAACAACTCACAAGTGTAACAACAAATCACTATTGTTATGATCTACACTAAGACGCTATACCTTTGCAAGATCTGCTGACAGAGGCACCTCTATCTTCTGCAGTTTTTCATTGTATGGTTTTCAATCGCCATGCAAGGTATCCAGAGCCACTCTCAGGGTCGTAGTAGTGTTCCTAAGTAATTACAAATTCATTAATAACAATACTATGAACTTACCACTGAGTGATGTACATTATGCTGGTTGTAATGACACTTTTACTTACATATCCATGTTGTGAAAAACGGTCTTCCAAATAGGGAAACAAAGCCACAATGCCCTGTGTGCAGAACAAAGCAGAGCAGAGACTAAACTGTACTTAAAAAGGTTCAATTATTAACATGTAAAAGAGGGGGTGTCTGTTACTATTATAAACTACATGTGGCTATTTCAGACCCACTACAGGTACAAGTTGATGACTTTTCTTTATTACTTTAGCTTTGAACTTCTCCAAGAATTTGTTGGCAGTGGTCTCTCCAAACAGAAGTCTGAAATCTTGCTCAATCTGTAATAGACACATGCAAACAAAGAGTAAAAATGAAAAGCACTGTGGCTATACTGGAAATTGCTATGAAATAATTGAATTAAGATGTTGTACAAGTCCTGGCGTGTCCAAAAAATGTGGGAAAACCAAGAAGACATCTGCTGATTTGCTTTCATCTTTCATCAGCAGAGTGTTTCAAAACCGCAATAACTGCTTGAATATCCTCATCTGAAGTCGTGTTATCAGAGGTGAAGGGTTGTCGACTATGTCCTGGTCCCCCAACTCAAGACAAAACACAATGTGACTCTTGCCAGGACAAGTAACAACTCACAAGTGTAACAACAAATTACTATTGTTATGATCTACACTAAAACGCTATACCTTTGGGAGATCTGCTGACAGAGGCACCTCTATCTTCTGCAGTTTTTCTTTGTATGGTTTTCAATCGCCATGCAAGGTATCAGAGCCACTCTCAGGGTCGAGTAGTATTCCAGTAATTACAAATTCATTAAAAACAATACTATGAACATACCACTGAGTTATGTACATTATGCTGGTTGTAATATAAATGGTTGTAACAAAGCCACAATGCCGTGTGCATACATCACTCTGACACTTTTTGGGGGCGATGTCCTGTGTGAATGCAATGAAGCCATCACACACAAATGACATTAGAGGACACAATTTAAGTAATTAAAATTGTAATACTGACAATCTCATTACAGGCTATATGTATATCAATATCAATGCTTACCCATGGGTTTCTGTCATCTCAGCAGTAAGAATGTTAATCATCTGTCGTCTGGTGGATTCTGTGAGAGACTGCGTTTTCCGATATTCTTGCATAATGTGCTCACCTCCAGGCTTTGGTTTTTTAAACATTCTCCATGACATGAAACTATATTTAGCTTGGACTCAATAGTGATATCCATTGCGTCGCACCACTTTTGCCTCATAGTTTGTATGGCATGGCCTTTTAGGCTGGCTTCCTTCTTCAGCAGCTGCTTCTTCACACAGAGAAATTCAGGATGACTGTGTCTACTGAGCATAATGATGACTGAGAGGCACCTGTGCAAGAAATGTGTACAAAATAGAACCATATTAGGTTATATAGAGCTATTGTATTTTAATATGATGATAAATAGTCACATCAGAGCCTATATGAATAAACACATAAGTGAGTTGTTTGAATGATTACCATATCCTTCATTGTTCAACATGATGCTGAAGGGCCCAGCTGATTCCTGCACTAATTCTTCAAAAACCTCTGAGTCAATCTCTGTGTCAGACTGGTCACACACCTTCACGTCTGACTGTCTGTCTTCTGGTGTGTTAAATTTTAGGCACACTAGTTTGTAATAAAACCAAATAGTAAATTAGGCAAGAAGTATTCCAAAATGTGAGGTCATGCATTTCTGTCTATTAAGAAAACCGTCTATGTTCTCACCTTCTTTCAAGAAAGCTTTGAATGTAAGCTCAGACAGCTTCACATACTTTTGTTCTCTACCGAACTGCACACGAAGCAGCATCATGCACCTGTTTAAAAACTTTTTTAAAGAAAAAACTTTGGAGCTTTTTCCAATGTGTTTCCATGTGTTTTTAAAATCTCAATGATAGTCTCAGACACACAGTGGCAATTCAAATACAAATAAAAATACAAAATATATTGTCACTTTCAGATACTTATATTTATTCAATCTTTATGTCCTATATGTGTTCATATTTACTGTAACTGTTGTTACACATTTTCCACTGAGGTCTGCACAGAAATACAATCTCATTCTGTGTATCACTTATGTAGAAGAATTGAGTTAGATTGAGTCGGCGTCTCATTAAAAAGGACTGTATTTGAAGTACCATTGTAAGAATATACAGAAGCAATTAAAATTACTTAATTGACAGAAGAATATCAATCAAGTAAAACTGGAACATGGCTGTTCATTTCATTGCATATTATTTATTGAAATACAATCTAAAGAAGTATTGATGACAGTATTTGCTATCGGTTAGCACAAGAATGAAAACAAAATGTGTAGGTGTGTAGAAGCATTTTCTACACACCTACACATTTTGTTTTCATTCATATTGGGACAACCCTACTGAAAAGCTTCTGAATGCCAAATAGCTTTATCTTTATTTCCCCCAAATCAACAGGAAATCAACATGAGTCAGTGGGTTGGTCAGAATCTGTGTGAACTAATGAAATACATACGCACATAAGATGCCCTTGACCAAGCATGAGAATATTACCTCTTTTTTAAATTTTTTTCGTTCACCGTCATGTGCTAATATATATCAGATGGACTAATTGTTCACTTTAGGAATTATAGTACCCTGGGAGAAATGCACTCTAAATCAGCTTCTTTCAATTTGCTAAGTTTAGGCAGAAATGTTGCAATTTTTGAGCATCATCGGCAATAATTTTAAATGATGAAATTTATGGGGTATTGTTTTTCAAACGACAACAGCAAGCCACAACTGTCATAGATATATTATCTTCTGTGTACACAATAGTATTACAGTTGTAAAAGATTTATAGGACAGCACTGAGTCATGTATGAGCTCTTTGCCATCATCATCTGTTTATCAACTCATCTGTACACCACAAAAGGTGTCAAGCGGTGGATTTTTTGGTTTCTCAAACATTCACAAAATCTCATAAAACTTTTTAAAACAATTTAGAAGAGATTACAACACTTGTATTTTAATATTATTTTAATCCTGAGGCCTTTGTGATTAAAAGGCATACAGAGATTACACAGTGTTTATGCAGAATGCTTTATACTTAACAGACAATATCAACAAAACATCGTTTGTAGTTCAACCTAAAACCAAAGGTCTTCAGTGGTTTTGTGATGAGGAAATCCAAAGTGAACAGAACCAACTGTCAGGTCTGTCTGTTTCCTGTTCCTGCTGTCTGCTGTGTGGGGTAATCTGTGTCATCACACTCACCTGTGTCTCTGTAATTAGCCTCAGTTGTGTCACCTGGTGCTCCTTGTATATATACCTCTCTGGCCTGGTTGGATCATTAAGAGACTGTCTGTGCGCGCGCTGTCTTGAGCGCTGTATTGTGCCAGCGGTGTGTCAAGCTTTTTGTTGTAGCTGTTCCTAGTTTGTTCCTGAGCAAGTCTGTTGCTGTGCTCAACTCTGTTCGTGTTCTCAGCTCTGCTCGACTTTGCGTATGCTTCTGTCTTGGTTTTTGGAATTTTGAATCTTGAAATAAACTACCTGCACCAGTCCTGCATTTGGGTCCTGCCTGCTTCGTGCCATGTCGATGCCCACACGTGACAGAATGATCCCACCAAGATTGGACCCAGCGTACTGGGAGGCTCTCCTGGTGGATTTCGGCGCCACGCAGCTAAAATGGGAGAAAGTAAAGGCACAGTTGAGCGCTCTGCAACCTGACCACGCTCAATGTTCCCTGCAGCAGCAGTGATGCCAGTTTTTCCCACCATCCCTGCACTTATTGTGGGACAAGAGGAGCCGTCCCTTAAAGGAGGGGCAGGGTCATTGTTTCCTGGAAGAATGCCTGCTGTGGCTGTCTCTGCGACCTGTAGTGGGTATCTGCGATCTGTAGTGGGTCGACTACAGCCTTCTTCTCTGTCCCTTCCTACTTCATGCCCGCGGATGCCTCTACCTCCATCTCAGTGGCTCCAGCAGCCTCTCCATCTATGGGACCTGTTTTTCCCACCCTCCCAGCCCCCATTTTGGGATGTCAGGAGCCGTCCCTTAAAGGGGGGTAGGGTCAGTGCTTCCTGGGTCCGCAGCATACCCACTTCTGTTGGTTCCCGGGGTTGCTGCGGACACATCTGATGGCTCCTTCTCGGTCTGTGCCTCTGGTGGGCCAGCGGCCCCCAAACCTCTAATTTTGGGATCTCCAGTGATTCCAGAGGTGGCTGCGCTCACCTCCCCAGTGATGCCGGAGGCGAGGGTGGCCACACCTCCGGTGGTGCCGGAGGCAGCGATAGTGATTACTCCTCTAGTGGTTCCGAAGGTGCCTGAGGACGTCACGCCTCTGGAGGTGCCTGAGGACATTGCACCCTCAGAAGTTCTGGTTTCTGTGACTGACGCTCCCTCAGCAGTTCTTGGTTCGGCTGGGGGAGACTTTGACTGTTGGCATGCCTTGATCTAGGAGAGACTCCTTACCAAAGACAAGTTCCCTAGGCTGAGGTACAGAAAAAGCCAGGCCAAGTGTTGGGGTACTTGGGCCTGGATTTTTTTTTTTCTTTTTTTTTTTCTGTCTTTGGGCCTTTTTTTTTTTTTAAATAGGTCTTGTTTTCAGTTTATCTAGTTCTGTGCTTCTGTGTTCCACCCACCTAACCCAGAGAGTTGGTGGTAGAGTGATGTGGACATCAAATAATGTCCATCTCACTCTGCTTTTTTAATTTATAAACTGCTCTTAAATAATTAGTACTACAGCCAGGGTGGGATTTGAACCAGCAGTCCAAATCCACTAGTAAAAAAGTTCTTAAATATTTTAAAACTTGAGTGATTGGATATTGAAGCAATATTAAGAGTTCCTGTTGCCATTGGATATGACTGGCACCTTTTTGTCCTTTGTCTGTTTTCTGCCCTCTTGATGAGCTACACCTGCTCCAATGTGCCACAGCTGTTTCCCATTGTCTCTGTCATCTGAATCAGTTTACTCCAACTCCCCTGTTCCCATCAGTTGCCAGTTTCTGTCATGTTGTCCATCCATCTTCGTCTGCTTATGTTACCGGGTCGTGGGGGCAGCAGTGTCCATGACCGCCACCCAAATCACACTGCACCGTACCAACTCCCCTGAACCTTCCTGTGGGTGGTGAGTCCACTGGAAGGTACCAACCGCCCTAACCGGGTTTCTGTCATGTTGTCTGTGATCAATCCCTTCAGAGCTTTCATGCCCTTTTCTGAGTTTTTATTGTAATGCTTTTGTCTTGTATTTTGAGTTGCTATTTTGTGTGCTTGTGCTGTTTGTTATTAAATTCCATTTGATATGTGAAGCTATGTATTTGAAATCTGATCTTCAGTCTTTGCAGCAGTAATTCTCAATGTTATTAATATCAACTGATCTGGGTCTCAGGATGAGCGCATAGTGATCTCAGTCATTCATTTTGTTAAATGTTGTAACTTGCATGTTTGCCATCAGAGCTGTTTCCAAGCTAGTCTTAGTTTTCCTGTAGCTATTTTGGCTAACATTTAGACATTCTTAACCAGACTTTTGTGCAGTGTGACTCAGAGTAATGAATATATTTATATTTTTGCAACTACCATGGTTGCTTTAGTTCTATATTTGTTAATTTCCGAAAAGACATCTTATTGTAGCCGTTTTTGTACAAACTTTTCCACAAAATGAACTACAGATTTTAAAGATTCAGTATTGAAGATATTTATGTGAAAGGGCTTCATTGGCCTAAATCTGTGGAGGTTTGGACTTTTTGTCTTCCTGGTGAGAGTTTTTTTGTCTTCCTGGTGTGAGTGTGGGGAATCATTACAAAATCAAGCTTTACTTAGATTTGCATTAGGGTTTTACTTAAAGAAATCACCCTGATTTTATTTTACAGAAGTAATCTTTTTACTGTTTTCTTAATTATGTCATGTGTTTAGTCCTGAGTAGCTACTGTTCATGTCTAAGTCCAAGTCTACCATAATAGACCACTAAAGAGGGTCTGAGTCATAAAGGTTCAACCTACATCAGGTTCCTATGTCACATAAAAGTAATGTTAAAAGGATTAAAGAAAAATCAGGAATCAACAAAGAACCCTAAGGAATCAAATTAATTATTAAAAATTATACAACACAAGAATTATCAGTTTACAAGAGAGCAAAGACAAGAGTAACCTTTAAGTTTAATTCATCCATCCATTCATTTATCCATCCATCCAACCATCTACTCATCCATCTATCATCCATCCATCCATCAAATTCAACAAGCCAAGTTAAGAAACCCAGCATATGAGGTTGCAGAGCTTGTGTCTTTGAATTCTCTGCCATAAACACTGTGACTCCCTCCCAAGCATTTGCAGACGCAAGTGATTTCTTCAACGGGTTTATTGAAGTCTCTGTCCTCTCCACAACCATCCAAAGACTTCCGCAAACCGTGAAACTAGCAATACACAGTATTACAGTTCACATTAGCACACTCAATATTCTGTACAAGATTCATAACAAAAAATAAAGACAAATAAATACCTCGTTGGCTGCATGCTATGAAAGGAAATCTGTAGATCTTCTATCTTCAGTCTTCACCATATAACTTTTAATATTTAACTGTGTAGCTTACTCTAGTTTACACCCTTGATATTAACTCGACAGCGTAACATCTTAACTGGGTAGCTGTGTGTCACGAAGTGAACATGCTCGCATCTCTCTCCTGTTTGGCAAACGTCACAGGCCTGACAGCTCAACGTAGGTTTCAAAATAAAGTACCCTTAGCCTTTCATAATAAAAACATGCAAAAATTACACATAAAACATAAATTACAAATAACTTGATAATTCACAAAATGAGTCTCTTATACAAAATGAAAAGAAATGTTATGTCAATATGGAAATTAAAATAGCAACAGTTACA